CATCTAAAGATTTTCAACTGACCCAGATACGCGAGTGAATTGAGTGAGATAAGGGAGCTTTTATATAAATATAAATATTTAAAAATAAGACACTTGTGCATTATTTAAAAATTTTTAAGAAGATTGATCTGCACGTATATTATTCAAAAGAAGTTCATACTTCTTTAAATATAGATATTTTTGCAATGACAAAAAATTATATCGATTACTGCATATGATGGAAGTGCATGCCAAAATATTTGAGTTTAAAATGGGATTAACGAACGTTTCGAGAATAACATCGAGGATGAATTGCACTTTCCACGTCGCTTCCTCCGACGTCAGATATTCGTGCTATACCTCACGATCGAGTTTCTTTCTCTTCTTTTCCCTCCGTATTATTTTGCCGTACTACTTTTTAACGATTTCAATTGAAATATATTCTTAGCCCGTGCCATCGAAGTTTGGTCGACTCGTGACTGCAGCTAACCGCGTTACAACCCCGATTCAACTGGCTCTTGTTCTTTTTAAAATCCAGCCGCCGACTGTTTTTTCCCCTCTGACTGTGCTTAGCTTCTACGTCACGTCACTTAACTTCCGGGGACGAACCGTTGAATTATCTTTTGGTACGTGCTTGCTCCGATTAAATCTCAATACCGTTCGCAACCATCGTATCTATGGTTTCTGTACGTGTAGTAAAATTATTTACCGTCAGAAATGCAATCTATTGATCTTGCGCAATCTGTGTTAATTCTTTAATGTGTAATTAAATTTTTATTTTTATTAATTATAAAGACTTGACGTAACATGTATAAAATACGGCATTTTGTTAGGAATTAATAAGAATAAATTTTAGAAAATAAAAAGTGTTTGAATAGAAAAAATTTATTTTACGAACTAACATTCATTTCTAAACTTTGAAGTCGGGGATTTTAATTTTACAATTATTGGATTTTCATCTTTTTATTTGCTTCTATTTGTATCTATTCATTTTACCTTAGAGAGTTAAAAAAGCGAAAGGGTCAAGGTATTGTTTGGACCATCTCATCGTTAATTTGCAGCTTACAACAAGACTTTTATTTAAACTGAAGAGGTTAAATATTTCCTCTGATGCGAACTCAGCCGGCACAAACCGTGTACCCAGAGAGAATAATTAAATTCTTGCTTTGCAATCAATTTTTTGTGAATGTAAAAAGAAAGGAGCGTTACCAAGGCAGCGATGTCTGGAAGTCGGGCCGTCAGATTGCGAGTTTTGTCTACGTCATATGAACGTATAAAATAAATAAAATATTGAATAGGATATTGCCGATAAAAGCAGCATACCTAAATTAAGAGAACTTTTTCTTTCTAACAATTCACTGGCTAAAATTAGATAATAATATTCTTTAGAGTGTATTTCAGCAAAAGCATCCGAATGAATATTTTGAATCATTTAAAAGACTTTCTGGTGGACATATCGTTTATCGATTTCTTTTAAGGAACCGAAGTAACGTCACGAGGAGGAGGAGGAAAAAGCGGAACGAAGAGAGAGGGGGAGAGAGAGAGAGAGAGAGAAAGAGAGAAGAGAGAGAGAGAGAGAGAGAGAGCGAAGGAACGGTAAATGCTCGATTAGAGAGCGTCCGATCAGGCCTATTAATCTTCGATCTGTCTGATACTACGGCATGAATTATGCAGGACCCCGGCAAATGCATTGATTTCTTCACCGGACAAAGAAATATTATTCAAATAATTCACGCTAATGAGTCGAATGTGGATCCTGGAGTTGAGCCATTTTCCACGCGGAACTATAGTTAACACTCCTTTCCCGAGCGCTACTGGAACTACTCTCCTTCTCTTTTTACTCTCTCAATTTTATTTTTAATACTCGAGATGACCGGTGCAAACCCGCGACGCGGAAAAGAATATCACTATTAACAAATTGGAAATTTCTTTCGACCCGCGATCCCGTTTATCGCATCTGCTGATTCCACGAAATATGTTCGAGTTAAACCATTGAGAATTTCTAAAGCTTTCTTTCACAGCGACGACCGCGGAAAAAATGCAAATGCATGCGCCAGACTTTAGGAGCGCTACACCAAATGTACGGGCGAAATGTTTTTTAATTCATTGTGCACTGATTTCGTTATTACGACAGAAATACTATTCAAATTTCTTTAGAATATGGAAAGGTAACTATCGCAATCCGTTTCACTTACGCGTTATATGTTAATTTTATAAAAAAAAACATAATATTTGATTTTATTTAATTAAAAAAATAATTTTTTTGGTAGTTACAATTTTTCCTTTAATTAAAAAATATCTAGTTAAAAAACTAGAATCAAAATGTGCAGAGAAGCTGAAACAAAACGCATTTAACGCATCACAGTTCGATAATAGAAATATATTGAAAATTCCCGAGGTAAACGAAATAGATCTTCTAGAAAATCTAAAAGTTTCTAAATATTCCGTACACGTTAACTTATTCTCGCGTTACATTTCAAAGTTACGTCGTCTTAAAACTCGAAACAAAGACGGTGTTCCGTGATCGAGTATGTTCCACGAATCGAGATCCGTCGCGCTGTCCTCTCGAATATACAAGTGCCTCATTGTAAAACGCCTGAGCGAAGTATAATGGGAAAAAGCATGGCCCCTCCCCTCTCCGGATAGGCGGAAAGTTGCCAAGAACCAGGGGAAGAGAGTCGGGAGGCGCGACGGGGCCCGGAGGGGACTGGAATAAATCGAGAGACGAGGAAGCTTCCGCGTATCGAGTATCCTCGATAAATCGAGCCCCGTAGGGGTTTCCAGGAGATTAACGGAGAAGTTTGTCCTTGTGGCGGAGTGTGCAAGACGCTGTGAGAACACTTTTCTCTAATTCGATGGGAAGTCCCGGTGCACATCGGCTCGCCGGCCGACTTCCGGCGGGGGTACCTACTGGCGGATCTTGGTCAGCCGACTCCACGATTCATCGTCGAACTGCCATCGAAGTTCGCTAACGATTATTCCGGAATCGGTTCGGTGCGGCGCAGCGCCGCCGGTTTTCATTCGACTGGCAAAATCCACGGAGATCCTATCGAACCCCGGGACGAGGGAAAAATTTATTGCGAGTTCGCGGAAAGAAACTGTGGTTATAAAAGTTAATGCGCGGGTAGATTCGAAAGACAGGTCCTGTGTACAGTGGATCGTCATGGCACTAAATGAACAATTCGACTCGGCGAATTATTGCCAGGTCGAATTCTTTATCCGCGGCGATCGCGATGCGACTCGTCGTGTGTTATGCGGGCGGAAATACCTGAAAGACACGCGAGCCGGCACGTCTCAAGGCAAAGATGCCGGCGCCCAGGCATGCACGGTATATAGACTTTATACAGCACATGTTCCCCGTTAGATCTTAGTCTGGACGCGTTTCGTGCAGTTTCTCATCCAGTTTGTCCTGGGATACGAGTCTCGCGGGTACTCACGGCAACGTCAGAGTTCCCGAAACTGTGTCACGCATACAAGCGCGCGTGTTGAATCACGAAACCATGCAAACCCTTTATTTCAAAGTCTTGCATATCACTCCTCTTCCAGGTTACTATTTAAATCATTGTCCGAACTGTTATCATACGATTTATTCCTCCTTCCATTCTGTTCTTGACTTTTCATCGTTATTAAAATTATAATTGCATATACAAATTTATCATATGCATATTAAAAATATAAAATACCAAGATGATCACATTCGGTGCCTTTCCCGATCATTTCTCATCGTTAATCGAATCTGTTTCCCATCTCTACTCACGTTTCTACGCCAATTTCATTTTTTATAAGTCCGCGCGTGGTAGCTGACTGTGATAATCTCGTATTTGAACTTCCGTAAGAAGGGTGCGAAGCGTAACTCGCTAGACGAACATGAGAAAAGAGACACCAGAATGGGAATGGTAAACAAATGCGCGCCAGGACAAGGGATAGAGAAGGACAGAAGGGAATACGGGAGAATAGGAAGCGACGAGTGATACGAGGATGGGGTGCGGATGAACCGTCAAGCAGGAGGGTAAAAGGGTACTCATGCAAAGGCCAAAACTACATTACGAAGGGTTGAACGATACTCGGTGGATGGTGTAAACGGCACGGTAGGAAAAAAAGGAGGATATAGAATGGTGAGGGTATGAAAGAGAAGCGGATGAAAGCGCACAGTGAATGCGACAGATGGGGGGGGGAGGGTTTTACGTGGACGCGATTTGTGTGAGAGGATTAGGGCCTGGAAAGAGGTCGCGGGGATTGGTCGCCGTAATAAATAATATACCGAGGTAACAAAAAGCGTAAAATAAACGCGATTAAAGCCGGTTAATTTGAAAGTTTTAATAAACAACCGTGTTAACTGGGTCGGCGCCGTTGATAGATGAGAAAAAAAATGCGAGAGAGGAAGGGACGAGGGCAGGAAGCATCTCTATGAAGAGCGACACAGGGCAAGACCGGCGGAACAAAGAGGAGGGAAACATCTAGATTGCGCGTCCTGACGCGACAGAAGGGAGAAAGGGGGAAGACAGATATACAGTGGTCGTCCGCAAATCATTTGCATAATTGATTAAAGACTCATAGTATCCAAGCGTTGGTTGCTCGCGTCGGTGGAACGCGACGCCGTATATAAGCCATTAAGGGAGCCGCGCAACGATACATTAGGGTCACGTCACAACAACCCTGTAGCTATATCGTGATAAGTGCTAAGATAACGCGGGCGAACGATGCGAGCGAGAAATTCGCGCTCATAATTTGCGTAAGTTCATTAATGAACGCCCGTAAGATACATCGGCTGCGTTTCGACTGCGCTTCTACTACTTGCGGAGTACCTTAGGTGCACGATTACTGGAATTTATGGATGAAACGATGAAAGTTTGTGAGGCGACCAAGTGCGCTCTCTCTCTCTCTTCTCTCTCTCTCTCTCTCTCTCTCTCTCTTTTTTTTTAATTTCTGCGTCAAAACGACGGATTTTATTTGATTCATTACGGTACTCAACCAAACGTAGCAAAGATCTGAAATCGGTTAATATCGCCGGATCGACGAGCTTTTTTTTTTTTAAGGCATGTAAGAGTAGTAGCCAACTCGAAACGAGTTTCTTCCTTTTACCGGCAGCCAGGGATTAAAACGGACACAATTTCCGCGAGAGAAATTTCACTCGAGGATCCGAGAAGACGTTTTCCCTCTTCCGCTCGTCCGAGAAGACGTTTTCCCTTTCTCGCCGAATTCCAATCGAGATTACTATATCGGTTTCAACCCCCGCTGATAGGAATTTTACGATGAGTGCACACTCGAGCCTGTTCGCGTGGCTTGAACGAATCGACTGGTCGAGCGTGTCAAGCAATTGAATATACAGCGCATCAGGCACGTGTTGGTCCGTCGCGTCTTCCTACTCGCGTGAAAGGAAACGAAACCATCCGTAAACACCTCCACCACCAACACATCTCCGCAGGGGTTTCGATGCGTCGCTCTCGCGTTGCGTTCTCGTTTCCGTTCTCCCGCCGCGGTTATTCTCATTTATGTACAATACAAAGCGTATCGCGACATTTTAGCATTGCAAATTCAAGACGTCAGTCCGAAATCCGGCTTCTTCCTCCTCTCGCGGAATTCTTTTTTCTCTCGGAAACGCTTCTCCGCCGCGAGATTAACGGATTCGCTCCAAACTTTTTACATTACGGTCACTGGAACAGAACGATTTTCGTACGTTGTCGATGATGAGTGAACGATGGTGATATAAATGTGTCTAGGTCGCAATAAATAAAATATAAATTCTGCGTAATATGGAGATTCACACGCTATTGTTGTTGGTTACATATGTGTAAGAAAAAGTGTTTATGTGTTTTGAGAATACTACTGAAGATTATTGTAATGCGCCCTGCCTATTTACACCGTCCGCGGATATAAACAAAGTAATGTGCAAATTGATAGCGCTGCATTATTTAACGATTTATTGCGTACTAATGGTATCTTGTTTGTTTCTCATTTTTGTTAAAATCCAATAAACAATAGGGAGCTCGATAGAAATATTAACAGTAGTCGCAAATAATTTATTGGTACCTTTTAAAGAGAAAGTGCAAAGAATTAAAAATTTCATAGAATGTCAGAATTTCGCAAGGTCGATCTCGAAGCATAACTGAAAATGCAGGTGTCAAATTTGCTGCGAATGAAAATTTTTTTTTCTTCTAAAAAATCTACCGTGTTGTACGTTGAACTAAAATAAAGTCTATCGAGATTGCGCAAGATTTCTTAACAGGATTCGCGCAATGTTTATTTTAACAAGGCGCAATCGAAGACAATATGAATGCAACAATTTGCGGTGTTTGCGCGAGTCGCCTTACGGAGCCAAGTTATCACCTCGTAGCATTATGCTTCGTTAATTCTTCGTCGTCTCCGGAATTGAGACTCTTAAACTCGCTCGAACAACTCGTAACGTCGAAACTCAGAAAAAACATTTTTCCGTCCAAAAATGCGACAAGATTAAAATGCAATTACGATAAGAAAAGCACTTTTGAAGATATCAAACATGGCGGTGCGATATCGGTGAGTTCGACTCTCAACGTTACATTTTCGCTTAATCCATTATTAATCCAAAGCTTTTAAATTCATGATTCAAAATTGAATCTAATTGGGAAGATTATTTCTTCTAATAATATTTACTTCGGGCGTAAAAATTATAATAATAATTCTAAATGTGCGGTATGAAAGAGAACACAGAAACATATTTAAATTATTTTGTACATATATATATTTATGGCATCCTTCATACGTAACATTATTCGACTCTTACACAGCATCGATATCCGAACTCACCGAAATCGTTATACCGCAGTCGAGCTTCAATTTTGCAACCATCCGATACGCGCGGGATATCCCTTTGACATACGTCTTTACGTTCATCGTCTACGAGACGATTCTGGCATTCGTCGAGGCGATCCTAGGGATCTTCCTTGGTGGTGGGCTGTATTTGATGCACCACGCCAGGCAGGTGGTGATGATGATGGTGCTCTGGTCGCCTGGAGAGGCCCAGCAAGGGCGGCAGCAACGGTAAGGGTAGAGGCAGAGGTAGCCCCCCGGGGAAACCGGCGAGGCCGCCGAGGAGGGCCGAGGCGGTCGAGTGTTCCTGAGCTTTCCTCCGGAGCTCGGCCAGGCTGTTGCTCCGATGGAGATCGGTGGTGCCGGTGCCGGTAGTGCCGGGTTTGCAACAGCCGCAAATGGAACCGGGCCAGCCGGTCGGCGACCAAGACAGCATCTCCTGAAGGCTACTCGGCCGGTGTTGGTCGCTAGTGGTCCACAACGACGGCGTCGTCGAGGTCAGCGACGTCGACGCGCTGCTGACGATCTTGTTGCCGAAGAGCGGCGGCGAGAACTGAGCGGCCAAATGGGGCGAGAAGAAAAGGGACGTCGGTGGTTCCACCGGCCTGAAGCCCGCGCCTATCCCCGTGGTGCTGAAAGTTCGGCAAGAGAGAAAAATGAATATAAATAGGAGAAGAAATAAAAATAAATTTTAAAAATATATATTTTTGTAATTTAAAAAATATATATTTATAAATTTAGAAAATATATACTTATAAAAATAAATAAAAAATCTAACAGGAACAATACGAAATATATCTCTTTAAAAAAAATATCCCTTTTTGACAAAATTGACAAAATTATTATACTTAAATATAAGCTTTTAGCGACATAAGGCACAGTGGCACAATTAAAAATTTTGACATAAAAGTTTCAATTTTGAAGGTGGATCAAGACTATTTTGTGTTCCGCGATTGATTATCTTTAAAATAAGATATGTATTTTCGATAAACAGAGAAAATTTGTTTCTTTATTGTTTCATAACATCATTTCTTAAATTCGTGATAATAGCACAATTGACGCGCACTGATGCACATCGACACAGAAATGTCTCAATCATCACGCCGGAAACGATCCTTAACTCGTCCGCGAATTAACGCTATTTCAAGCACCGGCGCGATTATCGCCAAAAGGACGTCGCAATTTCGCGCGATTCCAACTACCGGCGTATCAGCGTAGCGAAAGCGAGAGACAGACAAGTAGACACGAATCAAGTGCGAGAGAAAGACGGAAACCGAAAACGGAAGGGAGAAACAGAGAGAGAGAGAGAGAGAGAGAGAGAGAGAGAGAGAGAGAGAGAGAGAGAGAGAGAGAGAGAGAGAGAGAGAGAGAGAGAGAGAGAGAGAGAGAGAGAGAGACGGGAAAAGCTTTTTCTGAGATAAATGTATCACACGATATCATTTATATATACTGCATTTAAGGTTTTTTAATACAAATTTCCACCATTGGGAAACGAAATTTTTTTTGCGCCCGTACTTTTGCCACTCCGCCCGAGTCGATCGTCTTTCGGCGTGGAAGAGGTCGCGTTTTATCAGCCGCGTATAAACGCAATTTCTAAGATACAGGAGTGTCTACCTCTCACCGGACTCTAACTAAGAGTAACGCGTAATCAATTCTTACGCAACCTTCCAAGAGAATCGCGAGACAAAGGAGGCGATCTAGCGACGAGACAACATCTTTGCGACGCGGATCCGCCCCTATACAGCCAGCAGCCGGCAGAAGCCAGTCGCTCTTAAGGTAGCTAGGTAGAGCTAAGGTAAGAAGGAACGCAGAGCTTAGACCTCTCCCCCCCCCCGCCTCCCCCCTTTCTCCCTGTTCTCTCCCGCTCCGCCCGCTCCACCCCCCGCAGGAGCTTCGCCGTTCCTCTGAATAAATGATGAGGATATATTTACGGCGAGCGGTTTTAAATAAATTACAACTGCGGGGACGGCGAAGGAGTATCTTCCTGCCGTTTCTTCTTTACCTTTTCCCTCGACCCCGGTACCGGCTCCCCTCCCCTCCAACCCTCCCCGACCCCATGGACTCCTCTCGCTGCCTCTCTTCGTCGTCGTCTTGTCGGCGTCTAACGTGCCCTCTTCACATAAGTATTACGCATGTTTGCTACGCGTGTTTTTCGGCATTTTTTGTTCCCGGCCTCCACGTCAATCCGCAGAGAGCCCATCGTCGTCGTCGTCGTCGTCGTCTCGGGGATTATAAACGAATGCTCGGTCCCCGCGGAAAGACAGAATCGCGAGCGGGATAAATCGCCCCTTTCCGATTTCTCGGACGTGCACCAGCCCTCTTATGAGACCGCGATTCGTACAAATATTTTATGTAACGTAAATATTTTTCTACATCCTGTGCACATATTTTAATTTATCTCTTTTTTAATATTTTGAATAATAATAATAATAATAATAATAATAAATACATGTTTATAAAGATTAATATTTTCATAGGAAATCGAGGAAATATCAAAACCTTTTATTACAGAAAAATTATTTAAATAAATATTAAAATTTATATAAATAATAACATTATTATTTATATAACATTACTATTTAAAAAATATATATACAGTTTAAATTAATATTTTTATGGCATTCATAAGAATACGTACTAAATTATATGAGATTACAAGCGGAAGATAAAAATAAGATTATTCTATGATAACGATAACGCGATAATATTATTAATAATCTGCTAAAGGTCAATAATTTCGAAACGTTTTAACCCACTTGCTCCCGGAATGACAACATCAACCGCGAAAAACCGTTGCCAGCTCTTTAACCTTTTTACCCGTCGCAAATTCTTTAGCTCCACAGCTCGTCTCGACGCTTCTTCCTCTCGACATGCGAGTCGTAAACGCGAGACGCCATTTAGTTTCACGAGACAAAGGTTCAGAGCGAAAAGTAGCGCGCATCGCTTTGCTGCCCCCGCCACCGCCGTCGCCACCGTCGTCGTTGACTCCCGTCGTGGAAGCTGTAGTTTAACGAGGCGACGATTATCGTGATTATACGAGTGGCTATGACGACGTGCGGAAGAGGCGAAGGGGGAGCTACAGGAGAAGAAGCGGTTTAACCGGCGGGCGTCGGGGGCAGCGATGCCAACACGAAGAGTGGTTTAATGGCGCGTATCGAGCATCCGGCCGGCGGTGTTCAGTGGCGCTTGTACCCACCCGCTCGCTGAAATCGCCCGGGAGTTTATAAGGGGGTTGGAAAGGGAGGAGGGGGACGTTAGAGAGAGGAGTACAGGAAGGAGGAGGAAGATATTTCCTAAAGACGTAAATACAAACGAAGCTAAGAGCTCACCTCTCGGCGGGTGGTCCGAGGCCCCCCACGGTGCTCGGCGGCGGCGGCGGCGGCGCCCTTATGGGGGTCGGCGGTGGCGTCGAGACACCACCCAGGGACGGCTGACTCGGTTGGGGCCGGGGACTGACCGAGGCGGAAGTCGTGCTGGGGCTTCTGGAGCCACCGCCGCCGCCGCCACCTCCGGCTCCCTCTGCCACGGCGTCCTCCGTGTCGGCGGCGCTGCTGCTGGTCGTGGTGCCCTCCGGATCATTTCCCGTGGGACTCAGGCCTGCCGACGAAGACGTCGGCGCGGCCAGAGCGGAGGATTCCACGTTACCACCGCCGCTACCGCCGCCGCTGCCACCGCCGCCGCTGCCGCCACCGCCGCCGTTTCCGCCCTCGCGTTTGCGTTGCTCCTCCTTTAGTCGCTCGCTCTTACGCCATTTCGCCCGCCGATTTTGGAACCATACCTGGAAATTATGAGCATCGCGATTAGAATAAATTAACGCGATGCTTAAGCTTCAGGGAACTTCGATGCGAAAATTTTATAAGTTACGGAATTAAATCACTGAAAGAGATCATAGCCATTACTCGGAAACGGGAGCTTAAAGTGTTAAATATCTAAAGTGTTAAATATCTATATATTAAATAAATTGAAATAATTATATCACCAATCACGTGCCATTATTTTTAGCGGACTTACAATGAACTAACGGCACTATAACAATTCGATAATCAAATTTTTTTATATCGAATTAAAATTTCCTTTATTATTCCTCCTAATAGGAATTAAATCATTTTGAAACTCTTTTTGCATGAAGAAAATATATTGTTCATATTAATTTCAAATTTATAACGGTACATCGACATCGTGGGGAAATATATACAAATATTTCAAATATTTGTTCAAATATTTGTTCAATTCACTGAACAACCGCTAAAACAATAATAACTTTTGCCCCACGTTTTTATCGTGTATCTTTAATATGTTTCATGTCTTTTCCATAATGCGATTTTTAGGTTACCTAAATATGAATAAATATCATATCGTGATACATGGGTATCCAGGGAAGCTAAACTTCTCAAAAGCCAACTTCGCGGAAGTTTGCATAATTCTCTGATTCAATATTCTCGACATCTCAGTCATCCGACTATGCTACCCGCGCGGACGAGAGAGGGTTAAGTCTCGTGAAAGTCACAGAAACGAGCGGAGAAGAGACAGACGGATGGGAGAAAAATGAGACGGACGGTCGTATCTACACGGCACTCCGCAACGTCCGCAAATGTGCAAGGATAATTGCATGCGCGGGGGGAGGGGAAGGGGGAGGGGGAGGGGGGGGCA